TGTATGTATGTATATTTGTATATGTATTTGTATATGTATCGTATCTATATCTTTATCTATATATATATATATATTTTTTTTTGTATGCACATGTATGTGTGTGTGTGTACGTATGCACGTATGCATGTAGGTATGTAATGTGTTTGTGCGCATGTCTATGTGTGTATACACTGGTCATGTGTGCATGTGTGTATTTGTGTGTCTCTGTGTGTGTGTGTGTAAGTGTCTGTGTGCAACTGTGTATCTATACAGTACTGCGTATATATGGTATATGTATATGTGTATATATATATATATGATATGTATATAAACATAAAATAAAATGGTATATGATAATATAGTATAGTATAGTAAAAATATATTATTAAGATAAAACATAAAATAGTATAATATTGTCTTCATACATACATAAATACACACATGTTGTTCAACCACGTTTGTCTGTATGTGTACATGTAGATGTACATGTTTGTATGTATGTCACTGCATGTGAATGGATACCGGAACCGAGTTCTTCGGAGAGCCGAAGATGCACGGCTATGCTGCGAGACCGCAAAGACTGCATGCTCCTGCCGGCGAGGATGCGCTGGAGTGGGTACTGAACTGACAAGCGGTAGTCACGTAGCTGTTATTTTCACATTGACGAGGCCTATGACAGGGCCGATAAATCTAATCCGTGTCAACTAGTAACTATCACCTCTCAGCAATGTATGTATGTATGGATGGATGTATGTATGTATGTATTTATGTCCAGAGGCGCCCTTGCATGGTCCTCTTCAGCCTCGTTCCCTGGAATCCCAGACTCGGAGCCCTCGGGGTATTTATGCTGCGTAGCATTGGGGGGACGAGGGCCACCACATTTAGCTTCGCTTTCCGTGAGTCGCGGTATGGGAGCCGCCCCACAGGTGGTGGATGTCGGCACGAACTTCTCGCAGATGGCCATCCTAGGCACCGGAGCAGGGAAGAAGGGCCGTGAACTAGGGCGGGCCATGTTCGGCAGCTGGCAAAGCCCTGTCCGTGAATTCAAAGGTTCTCGGTAATACTCTTCCCGGTCAGTAGTCTGTCGAAGTCTTTCTTGGTCTTTCTTGAGACTTGACCATGGCATCTCTGGTCGTGGTCCTAGCAGTAGTTGTAGTGACAATGATGGTAGTGGTAGTTGCATCGGCGACGTTACTGACGTAGTAGCCATACTCTACTAACCAGGGCCTTGAGGTCCTAAGTGCTTTGTCACTGTTCCCAAGTCCATCGAAAGTGAAATTGAAGCAGAGCTTCAGCCATGTCAGGCTTCATCCTGCTGTTGGGCACATTCTGCGCGCTGCCAGGGTCTCGGTTGGTTTCGGAGCCTGTGTCGGAGCTTGACATGCTTCTGGTTCTGCGCAGTCGGAAGAGGCGTTGCATGGAGTGTATACTTGTGTGTCTCTGTGTCTCTGTGTGTGTGTGCGCGTGTCGGGAGGGTTGGAATTGGATTGTGACGACATGGAGGAAGGTCAGGTAGCGTCGCGTTTTCGTGCCTTTGCTTGTCTTAGGTCGTGGTTCGGTTCATGGTGGAGCTTCAGAAAGTAAGGCACCCTAAGATGGATCCCGAATGGCAGAATTCTGATTTTAAAAGGACCCTTGAATAAGTTCAGGCTTCCCTCGTAAAGCCTTATAGGAGACCTTCGTCATCGTAATTTGTTGTGGGGGAGCCCTGAGCATTGAAATATTCAGGTGGGGCTACATCCAAGACGAGCTCATGCGCGAGCAGCTGAAGACGGGCAAGGCCTAGCAAACATAGCTCCCACAACTCTCTTGCCTTTGTTTGATGAGGGTTACCGGGCTTCCGGGGTTTATTGAAACAAGCTCTTGGAACATCACATCGAGACGCAGGTTCAAGGTGTGAATGTACATCGGATATAGGCTTGAGGAATGAGCACGCGTTCAGGGTTTTTTGGGCCAGTGCCACCCTAGCTTAGGGATATCGGAGATCTGCGCACATCTCTGGAACTTCCCGAAGGACAAGTCGGGTGTGCCCTACCACCTGGGCGGCGACGGTGTTGTCTCCCCGCTGACTGTCCTGGACAGTTGTAGCGGCAGTCGGAGGCTTCAGGGGCTGATGGGTGCGAGGTGCAGAGGCGTCGGGCTTCTGAATTCTCATAATTTATTATCCTGTTGCGCGGATTGGTGGAGAGGCATGAGCTAAGGATCCGGGCTCGGCGGATTTGAAGGGCAGGCGTGGCTTGAATTGAAGGCCACCAACATTGCTGCAAATCGGTTTGCCGCTCTGAGAGAATGAGGGGTCGGCAAGTAGGAAAATTAAAAATCCGGCGAGGATCCCATCGCCTACAACTACACCGACAACAAGAACCTCTTCCTGGCCCGGAGCTTGGCGGATGCTCTTTTGGGGTCCTCCGAGCATTCAGTGGGAAAATGGTAGCCCGCTTTGTTTCGCTGTTCTTTTTCCCCCAGGCCGTGACCTTTTGGCGGGTGCTCAAGCGAGACCATGCCCTACTCAGCCCTGTGTTTTATCACGAGGCCGACTGTGGGGTTCAGGGCCATTGGACTGGTTGGGCTGAGCCTGGAGGGTGCGGTTACACGTAGCAAGTCTGAAGTTGCTGTGATGTGCTTAGGTTTGCTGACATGTTTGAAGCCATGCCTCCTTCAAGCCCGGAATAGCCCGAAGCCTCAGAAAGCAGGTTTTCTCGCGGCCTCAGAGGATCCTGTGCTTAGGCGCGCATTTTGGGGCGGGAGGGGGGCTTCAGAGGCGACTGACCCGGGAGTTCAAATGCCTCTGGCTCCAGGCAAGGAATATGGAAACCGAAACCACCCGTGGATCCTATTTCGACGATGTGTCCAGGCGTGCTGGCCACCGGTGTCATGGCAGTGGCTCGGCGTGCAGATGGACTTTTGGATGTTGACAATCACAGCATTCCAGAGAGCGGCGGCCAGGGAGATGAACCCGAAGCTCGTCAATCCCTTGCCCAAAAACCACTTTCTGGGCCTAGACGCCCATGCCCCGAGACCTTGAACGGCATGCCAAGCCAAGACAGCTGGAGCCCAGCTTCCGGAGCAAAGGTGAATGCCGTGATTTACGGCAACCCGACCTTGGCTGTGTCGGGCGATCAGCCCGGACCCCGTTGGGGCTTTGACGCACTTCTGGCCTCTTCCACTCTGAACCATCATCATCATCAACATCATCATCATCATCACCCGCATCATCATCAACAACAACATCATCATCATCAGCAGCATCATCATCGTCATCATTATCACCATCATCCTCATCCTCATTTCCTCGTCGTCCTCGTCCTCGTC